TTTCCTTCTTGCAAGATACTGTGATGGTCTCTAAGCACATAGAAACACGGTTTATTAAAGTGAGGGGAACACCTTTGCCAATAAGTGACTTGGGAAGTCATAATTTGACTTGGGAAGGACTAGAACATCAGAATCCAGTTACTTGCCATCAGTCTTTCTATCTTTGCAAATACATGAGTCATCCTCTCACAAAACTCAGGCAAATTCTGGGTTGCTAGAAATTTTGAAACCCTAGAAGTGCCAATAGATAAGTAAAAAGCGGAGGCCAAGGCTGGGGGACCAGGCTGGACTAGAGGGTTGTGTTCTCCCAGATGGCAGTTTTATCGACAGTGCTCAAGGGGTAGTGTGAACACAAGCTTTCGAAGTCCTCAGCCAAGTCTTTGTTGTTGTTCTTGAGTGTCGTTTAGTCAATTCAAACTCACAGCAACCCTATAGGACAGAGTAGAACTGCCCCATAGGGTTTCCAAGGCTGTAATCTGTACAGAAGCCGATTGCCCCTCCATTCTCCCACAGAGCCACTGGTGGGTTCAAACCACTGGCCTTTCAGTTAGCAGCCGAGAGCGCTTGACCACTGTGCCAAAATGTAGAAACAACCCAAATGTCCATCAATAGATGAGTGGATAAATAAAATTACAGATAGACAGACAGACAGATAGAAGGATAGATATAGATATATAACGAATATTATTTAGCCATTAAAAGAATAAAGTTCTAATACCTGCTACTACATGGATGAAATTTGAAAACATTATGCTAAACGAAATAAGCCAGACACCAATGGACAAATATGGTATGATTCCATTCATATGAGATATCTTGAATAAGAAAATGCATAGAGACAGAAAGTAAATTAGTGGTTACTAGGGGCTGAGAGAACAGGGGAATGGGTGTTATTGCTTAATGGGTACAGAGTTTCTGTTTGAGATGATGAAAAGTTTAGGAAGTTAATAGTGGCAATGGCTGCACAACATTGTGAATATAATTAGTGGCACTGAATTGCACATTTCAAAACGGTTTAAATGGCAAATTTTATGTTATATATATTTTTACCACAATAAAATATATAAGTTTTGAAGGCAGTGTGAACTCATCTCAAGGAGACATGTCATTTAGACCTTTCATCACTTGCTAGTTGTGTGATCTTGGGAAATGAAGGTTCCTATGCCTCAGTTTTCTCATCTGCAAAATTGGAAAGTCTCACAGTATTGTTGCGAAGGCTAAGTAGGACACCACATATAAAGTACTTAAAATAATTGCTTGCATACATGAAGTGTACTGGGTTATATAAGTTTACTGGGTTAAACAGTGTCCTGCAAAAATGCATGTCTACCTGAACCCTATGAAAGTAATCTTATTTGGATATAGGGTCTTGCAGATGTAATTAGATTAAGATGAGAGCATACTGGACTAGGGTGGGCTCTAAATCTAATATGACTGGTGTTCTTACAAAAAGAGGGAAAGTTGGACATAGTGACACAGGCACACACAGGGGGAAGGTGGTTATGTGAATAGGAAAGCAGAGATTGAAGTTATGGTGCCACAAGCCAAGGACTGCCAAAAACCATCAGAAACCAGAAGAATCAAGGAAGGATTCATCCTCTACAGCCTTCAGAGGGAGCAAGACTCTGCTTGGATTTAGGACTTCTGGCCTCCAGAACTGTGAGAGAATAAATTGCTTTTGTTTTAAGCCACATGGTTGGTGGTATTTTGTTACAAGAGCCCTAGGAACCGAACACTGTAAACAGCCGATAAATGTTAACATTATTACATTTACATGTCACAGTGCATTTTATTAATCTACTTGTGCCCAGATTACAGATGAGTATATAGGATCTCCAAGAGAAATTAGGTAAATTGTCCATGGCACAAGCCCAGGCTGTTCTGACTCTCGATCTTGCACAGGAGAGAACGGGTGCACAGATTCCATGCAGTACAACCTCCAATTTCATCAGGATACATGAGGAGCTGTGGATGAGGAGAATGCCATCATCAAATGCTTATCCATTAGTGGCACCTATGAAAGTGCTTCCTGAGCCAAACAGAGGTCTTTCTCCTTCTAATTCACTGCACTGCTTCTTAGAATCCTTTTTACAGCATTTCTATCTTCCCTGACATTTAATTTGCAATCCCAGGAAACCAGAAACTTTCACATATGCAGTTGCCTAGGCTTCCAATGCAGGGAACACTTCCTTAACTAGGCAACAGCTATTTCCGGCAGAAACCTCAGTCAGTTAACGTGGCAACATGCAGTGGGAGTTCAGCTATGCTCGCAATGAATGAGTCAGCCAGATTTCTCTGTCCAGAGTTTCTCAGGGTTGATATCACCCGAAAAACAGGAAAATCAGTCTTGAAGGTTGACTCTTAGTTATGATAAACGCAGAGTCCTACACCCCATTAAAACTGTCATTAGTCCGGTAGTATTGCCTATGTGATATTAATCACAACGGTAAAGCTAATGTTTAAAACAAAAAACAAAAAAAAAAACCCACATTGCCATCAAGTAGATTCTGACTCATGGTGACCTCATGCGTTGCAGAGTAGAACTGCATTCCACAGGGTTTTCAAGGCTATGACCTTTCGGAATTAGATCACCAGGACTTTCTTCCAAGGCATCTCTGGGTGGGTTTAAACTGTCAGTCTTTAAGTTAATAGCCAAGCTCTTCACCATTTATACCACTCAGGGATCCTTAGCTAATATTTACCGGTTGATTATTTACTGTGTCATACAGGAAAGCCTCAGAGAGGTTAGGCAATTTGCCCAAGGCAACGTAGCTAGCATATTAGTTTTCTATGACTGTTGTAACAAATTGGCACAAACTTAGTGGCTTAAAACAACATAAATTTATTTTCTTATTGTCTGGAGGTCAGAAGTCCAATATGGGTCTCACTGGGTAAAATCAAGGTGTTAATGGGGCTGTGTTCCCTTCTGGAGGCTCTAGGAGAGAATTTGTTTTCTTGCCTTTTCCAGCTTCTAGAGGCTGCAAATATTTCTTGGCTTGTGGTCTCCTTCTGCAAACTTCAAAACCAGCAATTGTATCACTCTGACTTCTGCTTTTATCATCACATCTCCTCTGATTCTATCTCTTCTGCCTCCCTCTTCCACTTACAAGGACCCTGTGATTACATTGTTCCCATCCAGATAATCCAGGACACTCTCCTATCTCAAGGTCAGCTGATTAGCAACCATAATTCCATCTGAAACCTTAATTCACCTTTGCTAGGTAACTTATTAGAAGCCCCGGTGGTGCAGTGGTTAAGCACTGGGCTGCTAACTGAAAGGTTGGTGGTTTGAACCCACCAGCTGCTCCGAGGGAGAAAGATGTAGCAGTCTGTTTCCATAAAGATTTACAGCCTTGGAAACCCTATGGGGCAGTTCTACTCTGTCCTATTGGGTTGCTATGAGTCAGAATCCACTAAACAGCAATGGGTATGGTTTTGATTTCTGTGTAACCTAACATATTCATAGGTTCTGGAGATTAGGACATGATATCTTTGAGGGGCCATTACTCTGTCTACTACAGCTAATAAGACGTGGACAAAGCCAGGGTTGAAACCCAGATATATCTGATTCTGAAGTCTGTGCCCTTGACCATTACACTCTATCAAACTATTGTAAAGACACCCAAGTCTTCATTTTTAGAAGGAAATGACTGAGAATTATTCTCATGCTTCCTACCAGGTCCAATCCTCCAAATAATTTTAGTGATTAACAATTATGCTGTTTCCACACCAGTGACACTATATGATCTTATTTGAGCACTGTAACAACAGAGTCAAATGGGTAGCAGAAGAGTTATTATTGTGCTTATTTTAGGGATGAAGATTCCATAAAATAAGCTTCATGAACAGAGTCTCACTACTAGTAAGAGACAGAACTATCTCACATCCTGAGGTTTTGACCCTGAGTTTCTGTACATCTCTTCCTATACCAGGTGAAATGGAAAGACCCCCCTGTCTTAAAGCCATTTAGATCTGGACCTAATTTGTAGATCTTCCACATTCTGACTGTGTGGAACTTAGTAAGTCCCTCAAGCTCTCTGACCCCTTGTTTCTTCATTTGTAAATGGGAGACGAAAACATTTAATCTGTAAGCTCTTTAGCAGAAATAGTGATAACATATATAAGCAGCCTGGCTCACAATAGGTGTATAGTAACGGTATCCAGTTATCGTATCATAAATTATCAGCTGGCTTCACAACCACTTGAAGGTTGGCATCAAGTGTTCAGAGGGTTTTTGTAAGTGTCCATCTGGAGTCAGTGTACTCAGTGTTCAAGACAAGCAGGATTCCCATTCAATGACAAGACTCGACTCTTAGAGAAAGGAGCAACCTCCTTTTAAGACTTTCTAGGATTCACCTGGAGGCAGAATCTAACTGGGTGACAAATAATCAGCAAGAGGCTTCAAAACTCACCTACAGATCCTGTTTCAGTTCACAAGTGTGATGATTGGGTTTTCATACTGTCTTAGTCATTCAGTGCTGCTATAACAGAAATACCGCAAGTGGATGGCTTTAACAAGGAGAAGTTTATTTTCTCACAGTCCAATAGGCTAGAAGTCCAAATTCAGGCTCCAGGGGAAGGCTTTCTCTCTCTGTTGACTCCAGAGGAAGGTCCTTGTTATCAGTCTTCCCTTGGTCTGGGAGCATCACACGGCTTTCTCTCTCTGTCAGCTCTGGATGAAGTCCTTGTCATCAGTCTTCCTTGGTCTGGGAGCATCTCAGCACAGGAACCTCAGGTGCAAAGGATGCTCTCTGCTCCGGTACTGCTTTCTTGGTGGTATGAGGTTCCCCTGTGTCTCTGCTCACTTCTCTCTTTTATATCTTAAAAGAGATTGGCTCAAGACTCTATTCAATCTTGTATACCTCATCAGTATAACTGCTGCTAATCCATCTTATTACATCATAGTGATAGAGTTTACAACACATAAGGATATCACATGAGATTACAAAATAGTACACAGTCATACAATACTGGCAATCATGACCCAGCCAAGTTGACAGATATTTTGGGGGCACACAATTCAATCCATGACACATACCTTTGTGTGACATGTGCCTTCCTCGAACCTTGTTACAATACCAGCGCATTACCTATCTGACATAAGAAAGAAAAAAAAAAAAAAAACCTCACCTAGAATCTCTAAGGATCTTTATTTTGTTCGTTGTATTTTTATGTGTTTGTTTTGTGGCTTTTTGTGTGTGTTTTGTTCATTTTGCCTTTATTCACCCACGCTGACAACCATAGACGGAAATAAAATGGCTACATATGGGCCACCCTTTGCTTTAGGGCCTTGCTCTAGGCCATGTAGAAGGGCTGTCAATCAGGGCTAATGGGCACAGAGATGCTCATGAAGGAGAAAAGTGGCAAGAAACTGTGAGTATATTACCAGGGCCCACTGGAAACTGCACACCAACTCACCGTACCAATGACTAATTCTCCACTTGTCAAAATCCTACATAACCTTAGTCACTCAGTTGCAAAGCAACCTGTTTTAGAAAGTTTTCCACCCCTCCCTCATAACTTATGGCTCCTCCCTCTGTGCCTAACACAATCCACTGCTCTTCTTCTTGAACTTTATTCCCTGTTGTTAGATGCCATCGAGTCAATTCCAACTCACAGCGACCCTATGTACAACAGAACAAAACAGAAACACTGCAGGGTCTTGCACCATCCTCACAATCATTATGTTTGAGCCCATTGTTGCAGCCACTGTGTCAATATATCTCATTGATGGTCATCCTATTTTTTGCTGACCCTCTACTTCACCAGGGACTGGTCCCTCCTGATAACAAGTCCAAAGTATGTGAGACAAAGTCTCACCATCTTCCCTTCTAAGGAGCATTCTGGCTGTTCTACTTCCAAGACAGATTGGTTTGTTCTTCTGTCAGTTCATGGTATAGTCAATATTCTTTGCCAACACTGTAATTCAAAGGCATCAATTCTTCTTCTGTCTTCTTTATTCATTGTACAGCTTTTATATGAGTATGAAGTGATTGAAAATTCCATGGCTTGGGTCAGGCACACCTTAGTCCTAAAAGTGACATCTTTGCTCTTTAACACTTTAAAGAGGTCATTTGCAGCAGATTTGCCCAATGCAATACGTCTTATGATTTCTTTACTGCTGATTCCATGGGTGTTGATTATGGTTCCAAGTAAAATGAAATCCTTGACAACTTCAATCTTTTCTCCATTTCTCATGATGTTGCTTTTTGGCCCAGTTGTGAGGATTTTTGTTTTCTTCATATTGAGGTGTAATCCATACTGAAGGCTGTAGTCTTTGATCTGCGTCAGTAAGCGCTTCAAGTCCTCTTCACTTTCGGCAAGGAAGGCTGTATCATCTGCATATCACAGGTTGTTAAAGAGTCTTCCTCCAACCCTGATGCTGCATTCTTCTTCACATAGACCAGCTTCTCGAATTATTTACTCAGCATACAGACTGAATAAGTATGGTGAGAGGATACAACCCCGACACACACCTTTCCTGATTTTAAACCTATTAGTATCCCCTTGCCTTGTTGTAGAGTGTGATTTACATCTCTCTCCCTATACTTTAGGAGTCCAATCCGTCCCACTCCTACCTTCCGAGGGCTCAGCACAGAAAGCTTTATTAAATCTCCTGTAAGGTGAGTCTACAAGTCTATGTGTTAAAGGTGGCAGTAGAATCAATAGTCACATGCTATGTGCCAGGCGCATGATTTCCATTCAATATTCCTCCAAAGAGTGTCTACTGAACACTCACTCAGCACCTTGTCCTGTGAAGGGCTACAGACTAACAAGGATAGTCTCTGCACTCAAGGAACATCATCTGAGACGGTGAAGGGAGAGATGAGAAGATATTACATCTTCTCCTCATATATCCACTATCTCGTTATCTGTCATTTCACATTTATAACAATAGTAAAAAATCTGCTATCTGATTATTTTGGTCATAAATGAAGTATGCAATACAATGCCAAGGTGCAAGTTGAGAGTAATGCTGGCTTTGAAGGTTAAGGTTGTGTGTCATCTTAAGTGGGCCATGATTCTCAGTAGTTTGGCAATTATACAATGATGTAACTTGGCAGTTATGCAGTGATATAACTTGGCAGTTATGTAACAATGTAACTTGGCAGTTATATAATGATGTAGTCATCCTCCATTTTTTCATAACACTGATTTCGCATAATGACTTGGTCTTTGGAACTTAACCATGTTGCTAAGTGATGAGAGGGTGTATAAAACATTGAGTTAAGTGCACAGGGGGCCACGGGAGTACACAGAAGAGGTACATACCCTGAAGCGAGAGTCCTATTAGGGAAAACTTTGTTTTGGCTTTGGTTTCCTCACCTGTAAAACGAGGAAGGAAACCTGATGGTGCAATGGTTAAGAACCTGGCTGCTAACTGAAAGATTGGCAGTTTGAACCCACCAGCAGCTCTCTAGGAGAAAAGACCTGGCCATCTGCTCCCATAAAGATTACAGCCTAGGAAACCCTATAGTTCTATTCTATCATATAGGGTTACTATGAGTCAGAATCAACTCAACAGCACACTATAACAACAAGGGTCAGTGCATGAGGTGACCTACTGCCTATTGAAAAATGGGAGGTAATATTGACCTCCAGGTAAAGGAAGCCAGAACGAATGAAGGGGCCGAGCATAACTGGAGAGCATGGGCAGATGTCAAGGAATATCCACAACTCAGCTCAATAGATTATTGCCAGGAGGAAAAATGGGGCAGTGCTGCTAACATTTCAGATTTTTTTTTTTTTTTAAAAGCAGAAACCCACTAAGCAGGTTAATATGGTGAATCTTACATATGTGGACTAGATATGGCCCATGGCTTGATAATCAGCAACCTCTGATTTATTATGCATTAAGTCACCTCATTCATTGACTCTTAGGACTAGTTAATATCTAATGTACATCCCAGTTTGAATAATCAGGGTTTCTGCTTACTTACTCCCATAAATAAGTCAATACACCAAACTTAATGAGAGGAATTGGGAGTATGGAGATAAATAAGAAATAGCTCTTGCCTTCAAGGGAGGAACTAAGGAGAGACCATTTATAACAAATCATTGAAATAGTGTGGCAAGTGCTAATGAAGAGGGAGGCATGAAACAAAGGAGAAAGCACAAAGTCTTCTAAGGAACAGGGTAAGTTTTACAGCAGAACCTCACCAGATAAACAGGAAGGGGAGGAGATTTGCCAGCACATTGCTCACATCCAGGTATACTGTAGACTCACAGTAGATGGTTGCTGACTGGAATGGACCTAAACTGAATTCAAAGAGGAGAAAGCTGCATAGGAAAAGACACAGAGTTGTGTGATAAAGACTTTCTATTCTAGGAGCCAAAATTATTTAAGTGAGACTGTGGCATAGAATTCACATTAGGAAGAAGTGAGATATGAGGTTGTGGAGTATAAAAAAAAATCCAATAATGTGAGACTTCGTGTGTCATGCTGATGAGGTTTAAATTATTCTGAAGATAATAGGTTACCATGGAAGAGGTTTGAGCAGGGAACACATGAAAACATTTGTGGTTTGTCTGTTTGTTTGTTGTTTTGGAAAGACTCTGATAGCAGAGTGGGTGGTCCACTAGAGGAGATTAGACCACAGAGACTTAGAGAGAAAGACCAACTGTGAGACCATTGTGATAACCCTAGCAAGAGAAGATGTATCAGTTAGGATTTCTGCGTTGCTATGTTCAATGTCAACTCCAAGGCAAATTGAGTTAATCAGTAAGGAAACTTATTGGTGCGTGTAATGGAAGTTACTAAGTAGGTTAGGCTCCAAGGATTGTTTCATGCAGTGACTTCATCTCCATTTCTCTTCTTGTCCTTTGGCTATGCTTCATCCTCTAGCTGGCTTCTTTCATGTTGGTAAATTGTTCCAGGCTTTATATAACACACTATATAATACCCTCATGAAGAGAGATTCCCAGGAAACTTCCTTACATTTTATTGGCAAAATGCATCATGTGTTCTTAACTCAATCATTTTATTCACAGAAATATGGAATCTTTGGCTCCTGAAGCAACCACTGGGCTATGGAGTACAGAATTGCCATGGGATGAGTCAGACCTACCCCTGAAGCTCATGGTTGGATCTTCTTTCTCTGAATCATCCAGGCTACATGGAGCTAAGGTGTACATATGAACAATATTTAGATAACAATTAGGAAGGCAGAAGGTAGGCTTGGGAGGCAGCCCTCAAGATCCACCTCGAATAGTGATGGCCTGAGTAAAAGAAGTGTCAGGAATTAATGAAAGGAGAGGACAGGGAAATGTTAAAGAGATGGAAGGATCAAAACTTGGTCATTGATTGAATATGGGAGGTGAAAGAAAGGAATTGAGAAAGGATTACTGAATTTCTGGCATGGAAACTGAGATCCCTGGAGGAGAAGCATAATTTGAATAAGTATAACTAGACTTTTGAATATGTTGTTGGCCTTGACCATTAGTTATTCAACTGCTGTGTAGATATTAGTGAGATAGTTGAGTTGGAGCACAAGAGAGAACTGGACTGGAGATAAAGATTAGGAGCATGAGGGAATCATGTATGAGATTACCCAGGGGATAGGGTTACATGAGAAAAGCAATTTATATGTTATGATAAAATTGTTCTTTAGAGACACAGTCCCTACAAGGAGGCATCTCTCACCTCAGGGGTATAAGAGACACTTCTACCCTCTGAAAGTAGCCTCTTCACCCTGGATACCAAGGAGTTTCAGCCGAGTGCCTGGGAGAGTTGATGAGCAGCTTTGTCACCTCCTCTCAGGGCTCCTTCAAATGAGCTAAAATGCATTATAGCTGTCACTGGTGTCTGCCCTCTGGGAGTGTACAATGCTAGACAAGCATTCAGTCTGTTTAGGACATGAACCGTGTCTGAAAAAAAATGCCTGTCATCATACAAAGGAAGCAATTGATTCCTGGTGTCCAGGAATTTCTGAGGGCTGACTGAAACTTGACTCATGCTTGAAAATATGCGGCTTGTCTTGTTGAGATATTAAATATTACAGAGGTAGCTCATCACTGAAGATTAATGAAGTCACCAGAATCATTTAGGAAGCAATTGAGTGCCTAATTTTAATTAGAAGTTTGATTGCTACTATCAAAAT